TTCTGCTCTGTGTAAACAGTGAGAGGGGAGAGCTGCACTCCCACCCTTCCCCTCTCAGCTGTCACAGGAGTTCCAGTACAGTACTGTGCTAGAACATCTGTATTGGAGGTGACAGGTTCCATAAAGCGAACACACAGAGGCTTGTTAGCTCCTGTGTGAGTGCAATAAAGTTAAGTAAAATATAAAATAAATAAAAAATAAAAAAAAATAGTAAAAAATAATTTCAAAAATAAATAAATAGTGCTAAAAAGTAAAAAATATTAAAAGAAAAAAGATAAGATAAATGCAAAAGTATACAAGTTAAAAAATAATAAAAAATAGTACGCAAAATGATAAAGGAAAAAATGTTTTTAAACAATAATAAAGAAAAAAAATGAAAACTCTGCCATCCCTGCCATCAGGTTGCCATTCTACATGAGGGGGTTGGCAGGGAGAGGGGCACATTGAGGAATCCGGCCGTGGGGCAGCAGAGAGAGCAAATCCAGCCCTGCCTGCCCCCACAGGAATGTGCACTGCCAGCATGCCACAATCTCCCCAACTGGTAATGTGCAGCGCCAGCACCCCTTCCCTGGTAACATGCACTCGCACCATGCCCCCTCCACCCCCTCTGCCCCCCCAGCATCAGGCAGCAAAAAGTGTAGGGACACCCCTGCTGACTGAAGTGTACCTTTAAAATGGTATTTGCAGCACAAATAATAGAAGTGGATATACCATAAAGTGGGCTTATATTTGTTATTATGATTAACAATGCACTACTTTACATACCTGAAATGAGTTGAAGAACAGTTCAAAGTGCATCCGAATCTCCCAGGCTAAACCAGTAAATGTGTGGGGTAAGCACACAAACACAATGTAGTGGACACCAAATACCAGGACAAGTACAAGTGTAGACTTTGCTAACTTTCTGTAAACATAAAAAACAGCAAAATATGCAAACAGGAACAATATTGTAATCAATGAATGTAAGTGTATATAAATGAACATTTGGTATATAAGGACAACTCATAATATTACACATACACGAGGATCTCTGATCCTTTCCAACCAGCTAAATTAAGGTTTTGACTCTTGTATGGCCTCTGCTGTAACCATATTTACTTAGTCCACTGTCAGGCTGATGCAGATGATTTAATGTAATCCACGGATAGCTTTACACTGCAGTCCATGCACTCCATTCTTTGACCCCACTATTAGCATATATTATATTATAGCAAACAAAAAATTCACCCTCTGAAATAGTTGTCCTCAGGACAATGTGTTTACAACAGGAACTTTAAAGATGCCAACAAGTTAAAAAAAATACATATGCATGTCTGTCCACTAATACAGCTAGCAGGTAATGAAAAGATTAAACATTTATTGTTACATTTTTGGCATATGACAACATCATGAGGGTAAATATATTTATGCATTCACAATAGGATTGATTTACTTTTCGAGGAGAGACTGTTCATTTAGCAAAAAGAATGTTCACAAAGCTTGATAAATAAGGTGAGGCCAATAGAATGGTGCATTCTAAGCAAACACAACTTTACCATGTTTACTTTCTGCTGTGAACATAGCGTCAAATTAATTATAAAGAAACCTCCGTGCTACGGTTGTTTTTACACTCCTGTGTCTGTCTAAGCAGTTGTGCATAAGTAGTGACTGGTGTACTACTACAAACAATGTAAATATATTGCACAGCGCTATTAATTACTAACTAAACATAAATAGAAAACCATAATGCATATTACAAACCAATATAAATAGTGATTAAATATGCTATGCACCAATAAACTCTAAAAGGTGCTGTATATCAACCTATAAAATGCAATAAATAGTGATGTGTCCATTTGTGCAATCAGCATAAAGTGCAATGATATTGAATATTTGTGTAAAGTGAGTGTGAGTGTGTATATCTGTCGCTTTAACACAGTGGAGTTTTTTTGGAAGCACGGGTCTTTTATTTCATAATGGAAGAACACAGTGTTTGATAAATACAGTATGTGGAAAGAGGATTGCACAAGTTCAATCCACAAGAATGAACAGTGGATTTTTACACAAAGACTTATCATTGCACTTTATGCTCTTTGCACAAAAAAATAGGGTTTTATCTTGCACATGAATGGGTGATAAATGTGATCTTCACTTTATTTACTAAGCTAAGAGAAAATTCCTTTTGCTAAGTGAGCTCTACTACTCTACTCTGTCAGTGAATAAATCTCTTTAAGTACAGTTTTGCTGAAATAGTTAAAAAGAAGCCATCGCAGTTGTGATATAAGACTTCGACATTCTCTCTCCAGCAACCTACATGAAATAACTGGCAGAATTGAGCAGGTTATTTCCTGGAAATCAATTCAAGCAGAGTATCCTCTTGGGACTTTTGTCATTGATCTCCTAAAAGCGCTATTCATTTCCTCCAAAGACTGAGTTGCATTGCCAGCTATGATTTCCTATTAGCAATGGCTTGTAAACAAGTTAATAAATACTAATGAGATGATCCCCAAGTTCTGCCTGAAGATTCACTGGTGCTTCTGACAATAAACACTAAAGTATACCACTGTGCAGGAAAATACAAATTTTTGCTGGACAGGGAAAAACAATTAATAAACAGATTATCTGTTATATATAGTAGGACATTAACATAGTTTCAATCATACATTCTTTTTCCCACTGTGAATGTATTTTTATTTTCTGAAATTAATGTAATGCCTCTAATCAGTCAGTAAACCAGGCTTATCCAATACGCTTCCATTAATAACATTTCCTCAGCATGGATTAATGTAAGTTAATTTACACATACAATGCATTCATAGTTGTAATATTTTATTTGAAAAGGAAATATTTTACAAGCTTATTATTTCAGGGAACTACAGTACATGTTTCTATGGTGGTTGTGGTCAGAGTTACTTAGGCTTCCGAAGTCTTCATGACCCCTACTGATACCAACCTGATGTGTGCCATGATTTTATGGTCAGCATGCCAAATAAGGGGGCACGCTCTAGTGAAATGATAGAACCTGGGGAAGGGCGGGAGGGTCAAGCGCGACCTCGCCGTGACGTGCCTAGGAGCTCCCTGTCACCCTTCTTAAGGGGAGGAGAGCCGCCGCAACTCCTCCCACAAACACGGCCAAGATACCTTGGCCTATTACTTATCCTTTTCATGCAGAATAACATAGGGCAAATTGGTAGGGTTTGTCGAAGAACTTTACAAAATAGCACTACTAATTCTGTAACATACTATATTATTAGTATGTATATATATTTGAACATACCCCACCCACCCATTATGATAATAAATAAATGTATAAATACGTGTACCCCTAAATCATGTCAATGTAAAAATATGTTTTATTTTTTTCATGAAAAGTATTTATTGACTCTCAGTCATGTGTGATGACTGTCTAGCAAACTTTCCGATATCTGGATGTATTCATATTTATAATAAGTAGTTCTATTCAGTCTGTGCGATTTTCAATTAACCCCTTCATGACTGAGCTTGTTTTTAGTTTCTGTTCGTAAATGACTGACACACTTTTGACATTTTTGCTGTGTGATTCTTCCACGTCAGTAATATACTTTCTTACAAAGTGCACCCACACATATTATATATTGTTTTTTAGAGGACAGATAGGGCTACATATTTATATCACATATGTGTGTCTAACGCCTCACTTAGGACAAATAAAATATAAAAAAAGAGGACAAAAACGTAAAAAAAAACACTTTTTTCCCATTTTGATTTGTAGTATTTTTTTACAAAACCAGCACAGCTAAAAAAAAATGCAATAAGTACATTCATTTATTTGTCCCTTATTTTATTTTATTTTTTACACATTTATTTTTTTTACACTTTTCACAATTTTTTGTTTTTTTTTACACTTTTCACTTTTTTTTAAACTTAAAAATTTTATTTTATTTATTTAATTATATCAAGCAGTCATTGTGAATTAATCTCACTATTACTGCTTGATAAATTAATACATTTTTGGTTATTATCAGGCTGCTTCAAACTTCAGAACAGCCGATAATAAGTTAGTGACACTGATCCTGCAGCAGTTCAGGATTCAGCTGTCACTAAAGGTTTTCTGATTGTTGCAACAACGATCAGCAAACTGAAACATTCTTCTTCCAGGAATAGATACATTATAGGAATAGACACATTATGTATCTATTCATGAAAGAAAAAAAGAAAAAAAAGCCAGTATAGCTTGAGAGAGATATCTCTCTCGATCTATACGAGCTGTCAGAATGCCGGCAAAAGCCGGCATGTGTGTCCGCTTTGCTTTGACTCTCAGACACCCGATATTAAGGTATCGGGTGTCTGAAAAAGGTTAACCCTTTCATTAATGAATGCCTCTGTAGTAAGGGCATCCATTAATGAATGTTAAAAGCTGATTCTCAGCGGTTAACAGCCCTCTAAAGCAGCAAATAACTCGTCACGTACAGTGTACGTGACAAGTCATTTGGTCCCTTTGTGGCTGGACGTACAGTGTACGTCTCCCGTCACGAAGGGGTTAAAGTGATAAAGTGCAATTGAAGCCAAAACTTCCTTTCATACTTTTGGAGAGTAGAGAGGGATAGAACACCTGTCAAGTTTTTTTTGCTGTGTGTGAAATTTTCAGTGGTCACCAGAACAGCAATAAATGGGACATGGGGGCACTAGTATTGGTGACCCTGCTGACCACCAGGAATTTCCTTCACTTTGGAGTATTTTCCTCTCAGGAAGTTAAGGTAAATCTCCCCTAATGGGATGCAGATGTAAAAAAAATGCAGGTAATAGATAACTCCCCGCCCATATATGGACACTTCCTAGGAGGGCCAATAATCAGGTATAAGGGCTCATCATCCCCACAAAAATGCACGATATGGATATAACAGAAAAGAAAGATAATGGGGTTTTGTGTGAGTTGCCCTTATTGGAAATATTACAATGCCAAAGTAAGGATAACATTTACAACATTTTATTTGAATATCTCTTAAAATAGTTTCTAAATAAATTAAATCAAAACCACAGTGTCCTTGTGACTGGCAAAATAGTCACCCATATGTCAGCACCTCAAAGAAGAAACCATATTATAACAGCTGAATATATACTGTATAAAGTCCACAGCAATGGAAAACATATATGAACCTTGATGAACCAAGATCTTTGGGTGCTGGCAAATGGTTTTGTCTCGACACATTTCACCTATAGTGGCTTCCTTAGGAGAGGGACTTAATCCCTGAAGATAAAAAAGGCTACGCCACTGACACAGAGGGACACCTCGATCCAAATGCCCATCACCCCCTCTCCATTACACAAGGGGGGGGGTCGGGACCACAGGATGGGACACTACCTGCTCAGCTTGGCCCCTCTTGTGTTCCCGATCCCCCCTTGTGTAGTGGAGAGGGGGTGATGGGCACTGGCTTTCAGGTGTCAGGCATTAACTCACTTTCCTGAGGAAGTCACTATAGGTTAAATGCGTCGAGACAAAACCATTGGTCAGCACTAGACATCAGTTCATCAAAGCTCATATGTTTTCCATTGGTATGGACTTTATATATATTTAGCATTTATAATGTGGTCACTTCTTTCAGGTGCTGACATATGTGGTACTATCTTGTCAGTCACAAGGACACTGTGGTTTTGATTTATTTTTAAGACATGTACTAATAAAATGTTGTAAATTGTATTACATTGGCATTGTAATATTTCCAATAGGGTGACTCACACAAAACCCCACTATCCTTCTTCTCTGTTACATCCAGATGTAAAAAAAAAAAAAGCTAACAGGAATATAACATACAACATAGTGTATATTGTGCTGATGTCAGGAGTATAAGGTGTAACAAAATGAATGCACTGCAAAGGTCAGGAGTATAATGTGCAACATCGTAAATGCAGGGCAGGGTTTAGGACTATATAAGATACAGCACTGTGCATAGTGCAGTGGCCAGTAATGTTGCTCCCCTTACTGATGGTCAGTGGGAGAAAATATACCTCAAAGATGTAAAAAGTGGAGAAATAGATGCCCCCGCCTCCATCCTAAAATGTCTAACTTCTCTTTGCCACTCTCCTCATAGGACCTCCAGTACCTGGGTGTCTGTGTGGGTGCACAGTGTAGATAGTGTAAGTGCACAGTATGGGTAAGTGGCATTTCAGCTCTCTCCCTCTCACCAGCTTTTCACTACTTTCTTGTATCATGGCTGCTCCAGTGGCAGACCAGAATCTGACTTCACCCTTCCCTCCTCTGCACACAAGCACAGACAATGCAGTGTGCTAAATTGCCTTGAAGTGGGAGGGAAGATTTGCATAAGAAATGAGCCATCACTGGGTTTGAATAAGCACAGTTTTGCCTGATGAAGGGGACCTTGCATGGCTCTGAAACATCCTGTTATGTGATACTGTGCATATTTGACATAACAGTTCAATTTAACAATCATGTAGATAAAATGGTTGACTCTGATTATTTGCAGTACCAGACCTAGTTAGGAATTTGATCAAATCTAAGACAAATCTTGCTTTGTTTTTTTGATCATGTGAAACTGTTGGACCTATGATCCACTAATCACTGACTGAATAATTATGTCAATGCCCAGAATAATGCAACCACAAAGGTTGTAGACCAAGTGTACAATCAATGTGCAATCTCCTCTAGGTTTACCAATTACTTCGAAATGGGGGATGTACCTAAACTAGGGATGCACCGATACCACTTTTTTAAGGCCGAGTACGAGTACCGATACTTTTTTCCAAGTACTCGCCGATATCAATTACCGATACTCAAGCATGCCATCATTGTCCCTGTACACCCCCCCACACACACACATATCTCCTAGGGAATGGCAATATCTGGTTGTTGTACAGGGGCAATGAGGGCATGCTAGGAATTGTAGTTCCCTAGCTGATATGTTATGAAGTTGTATTCTACCTGAAAGTACTACAATGCCATTATAGAACTAAGAATAGAACATAAAATAAAACGTTTTTTTCTTCTTCTAATACTCACCTGATTCCTGGATCCACCAACAAGCGCAGCCTCCCGTCTCCCA